ATTTTGCTCGAGAGAAAGTAGATTAATTGAGGTTTTGGGTTGTTTAGATTGTTGGGCTTGTCGAGGTTCGAGAGAGAACTCGCTTGATTCGTAATAGTTGATAGAAAAATAGTTGTTACACTTAAAGCCTAACCTACCCACTAAGATTCAACGACCTTCAGTAAATAATAATCACCCATATAGCGAAATTGGCGGTTAATTGATCACAACCCCAATGATCCCTCTGTACTTGATTACACCCCTGTTTTTGTAGTTGATAATTTTCACTCTAATCCCCTCAATTGACACTAGTTGTCAAACCCTTACAATTTGATTTAATTGTTTCAAAAATGTCTATTCCTACAACTGACTAGAACACTCCTTTCACTTTGTAATTGAATTTTCTACCGTATCACTCCTTGTGGGATCGACCCCAACTCTTCATTGGATTTATACTTGATTGCGACCACCTACACTTAGAATTGGATGAAGAGTAGTTAAGCATTATCAAAAAGAAATTAAAGAGAATATACCATTTCGATGGACGTGTCGCGCATTGCGATAAATATTATGATTCGAGGGACGTGTCGTACGTCGAGACAGATTCTATTATTAAGGATCGTGTCACATGCTGCGATGGGATGCATGGATTGATTAGTCCCACATGGTTCCCGAACTGAGAGACAATGTGTGTGTATCGCTAGGTCAGATATGCATCATTAAACTTGGCATTGCATAGCATTTCATTGTATTCTTTATTCTTAGCTTTGTGTTTGGGAGTTTGCTTGTTGAGTACCGTGTTGTTTGGTACTCACTCCTTGCCTTTACATTTGTGTAGGTTATGAGCCCGAATCTTCGTGATGCTTTTTCTTCTTTTCTTGTCCAAAGCGGACCCTCTTACTCCTATTTATGATCTTGTCCTGCTTTAGTGACAACATCATTTAAGACTTGTGTTTTTCTTTCAAATCTATAGTAATACATTATAGGCTTGTGCATGTGACAATAAGTTTTTGGGCTTTAATTAAGTTGACTTTGTATTCCGCTTTAGTAGTGGTGTTATACGTTCATCCTTATTTTTACTTCCGCATATTATTGTTATATTTGGGTTTAGACTAACTTGTCTTGGTGAGATAAGACGTGTGTCATCACATCCATTTTTTTATCGTGACACCCTCTCACCCCCACCCTCGTATTAAAATTTTCTTTTTCAAAAAAAATAATTAAATTTTCATTTTTTATCCCAATCCTCTACCATCCCCCACTCCCTCCCATGAAGTGTTTTAAAGAAATATCTACTTTGAAAGTCAAGTTCCAAGTCGGGTGTGGTCACGTCTTAGTTCGTAAATCAGGGTAAAATTTTGATTTGAATCAAAATTTGGGTCAGAACTCGAGTCGAGTCTGGTCCTGATCGAAAACTAGGTCACGCATCGATTGTCGGGATCAGATCTCAGATCTCAGATTGATCGTCAGGATCGTGTCCAGATTTGAGTGTTGAGATTGGGTCCTAGTTTGAATGTCGTATCTCCGGTGGAAGTTAGGGTCAGGTTCTGGGTCGAATTTTGAAAAGGTTGTCGGGGTCGTGTTCTAGTTCGGGTGTCAGGGTCGGTTCCTTGATCGATTAACGGGATTGGTTTCTGAGTCAGAAATTATTTTCCTAAGAAATATTTTCTACCCTCTAGAATAAAAGATATTTTTTGAAAAAAAATGTTTTTCATTCACTAACCAAACACTAAAAAATATTTGTCAGAAAATATTTTTTACTCACCAACCAAACATGAGAAAATAGTTAGAAATCCACTTGTTTTTCAAGAAAACATTTTCTCGGAAAATATTTTCCTTCATACCAAACAGACCCTTAGAGTAGTAAGCAAACACAGATTATGAAACTGAATTTTACTTGCCAGACTCATCATTAGATCTTTTCCAATGTGTGGCATTAACATCTTGTATGTTCATTGTGAGCAAAGAAAGTACATATAATGTTTCATCTTCAAGACGGATCAAACTAATGTGGTTTCAAGGCATAAAAAACTGAAATTGGTAAAAATACAAGTTTTCTTTCTTAGACCGAAGAATATTCATGTCTTTTATTTCATAGCACCTGCTGAGAGTTATGAAGCTGTTTATAGATGACACCGACCGAACCAGCAATGGTGGACCCACCATTTTACATAAGTAGATTCAAAATAGAGATTGATAGTAATAATTAATAGTTTAACCAGCGTCGAGCACAACGATTTGTTTGTTGCTTTTTTTTGTTTATTTTTTGTTAATAATGTATCGTCTCTCCTTTTTTTTTAACAACTCACCACTTTTTTTAATCTAATAAAGTAGAGAAATAAATTAAAATTTTAAAAAGAATCTATTTACGTTTATTTTAACTAAATCAAAGTAAACTAAGACACTATATATAATTTCAACAAAAAATAATTTCATGTTTAGCAAAATTCTATGAAAGAGAGTACCAAAATTCAATTAACAGAAAAAATGTTTGTTGAAGTAACAAGATTATAGAGATTTATTTAATTTGAGTAGTTAAAAACAAAATATACAAGGTGAAATAGAAAAAATAAATATAAATATAGTAAATATATGAGTTAGTATATTAAATATGGCTGGTTAATTTTTTTCGTTTTTCTAAAAGCAGTAAAGTCAATTAATTAATACTAGATAAAAAGTAGCAAAAAACAACATAAAATGCTATAGGGAGGGGATTCGAATCGCATCCAGCGTGGATTTGAACCCCTGGACCATTGCTCGATAGTAAAGCTTTGTATCATGTGTGTTCAAGTTGTTTATTATATTCAATTTGGAATAATTTTCCATACATGTACAATAAATTTTGGAACAAAGTTAATTCAACTGAACCCACTTAGGTCCGCTCCTCCAAATCAGCAGCTGGATCACCTGCACCCTAACCAATTCTAGCTTATTACATTATATTTTGTGTTCTTTTTCCAATTCTTTTGCAATTTTGCAGCAAGTTGGAGTTGTTCTCCAAGTTGTTTTCTTTTCTTGTATGTTTGTTTTTTTGGGCTTTTTTCTAAGTCTCTAGCTTGATTTCATTTACTTATATACCATTAGCTGGTAGTGGTTTTTTATTATAGAAAAAGGCAATCAATAATTAGATTCTCTTTTTTTTTTTTTATTTTGCTGAACAATAATTAGATTCTTAAAATAATGTTACATGTCTGATTATTCAAACTTTTGAAATTTGCTTATTTTGAAAAGTCTGTCAAAATGGAATTTACGATAAGAACTTGAGGATTTTGTGTTTGATCAAATTGAAATATATTTTTGTTGGACAACTTATATTTAATCAATATCTTGAACTCTGTTTCTAAGTGTCACATTAGGATAAAAGACATATAAAGATTTCCTTTACAATTAAATATTGTATGACTGATATAAAATCGCTTTCAATAGGTGTAGAATGTGAAATTTAAGTTTAATACCTAAAGCGCACTGTAAGGTTGGAAATATCACTATTTGCATGCCGACTAGTATAAAATCATTTAAGCATGATAATAAGTTTTAAGATGAGGTACATGTACATCCCATTCCAAGGGCGGCTTGGATTTAGACTAAAACATGCAGCTTTTAGGGCTCGTTTGGTATGAAGGATAATGTATAACTACTTCCAGATCTAATTCTAGAATGAGTTAACCCCATGTTTGATTGGGATAAAATCACGGGGATAAGTTATCTGAGTATTAAGTGTTACTTCTATACCACATTGAAGGTGAGATAACAATTATAGGATAACTAATCCGGAGATAACTTGTTCTCCAACCAAACAAGCCCTTAGTATCATTAGATGTTGGATAGTTTTCAGCTGCATTACCATTACGAGTTTGTAGGGCATGTGAGGGGTAAAATTAGCTAACGAGATGTGCTATAATTAATTTCTGAAGCCATAAACTCAATAAATAGGGCATTTCGGAAAATATTAATCTCAAAGTTGTGTTCCGTATCTATCAATTAGGCATTGACAACATCATGTAGATGAAGCACTTGTATTCACAAAAGAAAAAAAGATACAGATCAAGTAGAGAAAGGTTTAGACGTTATGCAGAAGGTATAATACCACAAAGCACAATGTTGTTCTAGTAGAAAGAGGCCTTCTGCAATAAACGTTTGGTTACACCGATAAAGATAGATGAGGTCTTGATGTGGACTAAGCACAGGATCGTGGTTAAGCCACATTTCGACAACATGCCCAGTGTAGTCACACAAAGTGTGGTCCGGGAAGGGTAAAGTGTACGCAAACTTTACCTGAGGTAGAAAGAATGTTTCCAATAGAAACTCGGCCCAAGGAAAAACAGTTCAGAAAAAGAAGTAACAAAAGTACAAGAAACAGCAGATAATCACAAAAATAGTAGATAGTTAACAGAACAAACACTACAACAAAACAATACGATAATCAAAGTACAAGAAACAACAAATAGTAACAGAAATTGAAGGACAATAAAGTACAGGAGCAATACTACGACTACTAATATGAATGGACGGTAAAGCAACACTTCATTAGAAAAATAAAATTTATGAGCACCCAATGAAAGAACACACAAGGATCATAACAAAGTTTTGAGAATCATTTGCGTTGTCCACCAAATAAAGGTTATGCATAGTAGTCACCCTCTGAAAATCTATGCCAAGCATATCTTCCGTTCAAATTTTCTACATCTTCAAGTTCACTGACATGCTTCAGAATACATAGTTTAATGTTTTATTACACAAGTTCCAGAGATTTTTTAATCGAACGCATATTACCTAATCGTCTCCCAGGTTCAAGGATTCATTGATTAATTTAGTCCTTGCATAATATGATACATGGGGGCATCCTCTTCAGGTAAAGTAGAATTTTTATCAGCTACTTCTGATTATTAAAGGTGCTAAAGACCTAGAAAGACATCAAAGCAGAATTATAGATTCCAAAAATGTTTCCAAAGCCACATTTGGTATCAGAATAAAGATATAATGCAAAGTACCAGTTTCTAGGCTTCACAATAAAGGGAATAAAACACTGGCAATTACTAGTAAGTAATAACACAAAGCTCAAGCTGTTGTGTACCTGGAGAAAGTGTATCACTACAATTACCAGGAATCTCATTTATATGTATAGCTATACTATTCCCAAAGCCTACGCATCCAACTGATGCAATAAGAAAGTTTTAGGTAACTATTGACCAAAAGCAGAACATAAGACTGATGAAACGGTAAGGTAGAATAATGCAAAAGCTAACTTGTGGCCGAGCGTATCCCCTGGGGGCAGCCATTTATTTTTAGGTGCAAGGACTTCATTTACGGTGCTCACATATTTGGCATGTTGAAGCATGCTTCTTATTGAGAAATGTACACTTTTCGCATTCCCAACTGCCAGAAGCATCTTCACTGCACATCAGGCATGTTGTGGTAGAGTCAGCATTCAGAAATGTGCACGAATCACATGCCCAACCTTCAAAATCAGCAATAAACTTTTGTGTTAATGATGCTCCTGTTGCAGAAGATGCCTCTCCTAAATCGTCGTCATCCAACTTTATGATTAAGGATGCCCCAGTATTTGTTTTCCTGTGCTTTTTCCCACCATCTATTCTGCTGCTACTCCCAGCCACATGTGGAGTTTTAGACAGAGTGAGGTTGTTGCTTCCAGCCACATGTGGAGTTTTAGACATAGTGAGATTGTTACTTCCATCCACATGTACACTTGCCAAGTTTTTCACACTGCCTGCTCCAATGTTCATTAGCTTTCTGCCCCCAGCTAGCAGTAAACTACTCGAGCTGGTTGTGCTGCTCACCCCAGCCACATGTGGAGTTTTAGACAGAGTGAGGTTGTCGCTTCCCGCTACATGTGGAGTTTTAGACAGAGTGAGTTTGTTGCTTCCTGCCACCTGTGGAGTTTTAGACAGAGTGAGTTTGTTGCTTCCATCCACATGCGCATTTGCCAAGTTTTTCACACTGCCCGCTCCAATGTTCATTAACTTTCTGCCCCCAGCTAGCTGTAAATTACTCGAGCTGGTTGTGCTGTTCACCCCAGCTCTTTGTAAAAATTGTGGGCCCAAAGTAAAACTCCTTGTGGCTACAGGTGTCTCTTTTGATTCCATAAATTTGACGCCCCAAGCTTCAAATGGACTTTTTGATGTTCTCACAGTGTTGTCTTCTCTTATATCAAGATTATTGGCCCTATTCGTATGTCCTCCACCAGGAACTAAGACATGTTTCGAGCTTGCAGTGCTGTTAGTACTAGGTAGTTTTGCATTTCTAGTTCTCATGAGGGTCATAATTTTCTCAGCTCTTTCCTTGACGAGCATTCTGTCCCCACCTAGTAATAATTTTTTCGAGTTGGTCCGTTTGCTGCTCACAGCTGGGGTTTTAGAGCTCGTTGCTATGTTTCCAAGAGCTCCTTGCGAATCAACATCTTCAAGACCATTCTCAAGTGCTCTAACTAAATTCTCAAAGTAATTCCTAGTCACACTAGTCAGACTAGTAAGCTTTATACGGAAATCATCAAATGTTTTGGAATTACCTTCTTCAACATTCAGGTAAATCTCCAGTTCCTTCTCTGCACAAAGGTGAAGCCTCTCCAAACCAGCCTCTGCCTGGCCTTGCAAATACTCAAAAAACTGCCTTTTCGTTTGCTCCTTATCAGGCAAGTAAAACCCATAAGCATAAGTCCACTTCAACACTCTCCTACACTCAACAATCTGCTTCCATGCTTCTAAGATGAACTTCAATTGTGTCTCTGGTATGGATTGCAATTCACTCAGCTCCTTAACATTCACTTCCCCCATTCTCTTCAAATCTTTTACAGCTTTTCTCCTTGACTTCTCATTAGCAGCCCATCTCTCATAATAATGAGTGTACTTCTCAATAGATTGCTTGGCCATTTCTTTCTTTTGGTCATCTTCATTCCCTGGCGTGTACTTGTTACATGAATTATAACCATGAACTGACCAAGAATTAAGACACAACCAACAAAACTGATACTTGCAAGGGTCTCGACAAGTCATACGCATACACCCTTCATTCTTTTCAATCGGCCTCTTGCATTTAGGACAAGCCTTTGTGTAAGCCAGAATCCAATTTGTGTTCTCTGATTCTGCATTATTTTTCTCCATCCACTTAACCACCATATCACAATCAACCGGACTATGAGCTTCCTCCGTACAACTCCAACAAAAATAATTCGAACAGCCACATATAACTTCACAATTATCACTCCCTATATCAAATTCAACTGCAAAATTACAACCCGGAGCAGGACACCACTTAATCTTCCTATTTTCCTCAACATAAGAACGAAAAAGAAATCCATAGTACCTCTTTTTATCATCATCAGACGTTAATCGATCAATCATATCCTGTGAAACAGCAACTTTACAAGATGGTTCTGCACATCGCAAATTCAAACATCCAGGACCATCAGCTATTGAATTACTAATATACCCTTTCCAACATTCAACACAAAAAGGATGACCACAAGCAGACGCCAAAATTCCATCAGAAGAATAATCCTCAAAGCAAATTCCACAAGATACCTCCTTTGAGTCCCGAAATTGAACAACTTTCTCCTGAATTTTCAAGCCAACAGCTTCTCTAACATTGGATTCATCGGCAAACCATTCTTCATGAACTTTATTCACACTCCAGTTATACCGACGGAGTAAAGCAGATGCATCAGTTCTGGAAACAGAGAGAACAGAAGAAACCTTAGAGATATCATCATCCATGAGACGACCGATATCATCATCGGACAAAACGACATAGTTTTTGTCACGGGGAAGATCATCAAGATCATTATCGATGATATCATCGCCGGAAGACTCCGAGCCACTGTCTCCACCGTTGATGAGGCCATCGTCGCCGTAGAAGTCATCGCCGGCGGAGTCTACGTCGGTTCCATCGTACATGTCGACGTCGTTCTCCATGATCAAAAGACAAAGGTAAAAAAAAGTAATGAGGAGTAAAAATGGCGCAGCTGAGTCAAAGTATAATGGTATTGTATTGTTCTTGGAACAGAATTTTAGCCCTAAAATACTTTTTTTTTAAGATTGTTGAAATCCGCATAGTTATTGGAGAAGGTTTTACATATTTTGTGGAACTATGGGCCCATTCTCTTGACGTGGCAAAAATTATAGAGTACTATTTAATTTTTTGAAAAAATTAACTAACTACGTCATTTATTTTGGGAAAATTAGCAAACTAGTCACAATTCCTATCATAATCAGAGGTGTTCGTGATTCGGTTTTACTCGGTTATTGATTAAAACCAAAATCAAACCAATTTAGTCGGCGTTTTAAATTTCTAAAATTAATTCAAACGAAAAAAATAATTGTCGATTTGGTTCAGTTTTTCTGGATTATTCGGTTTGAAAGTAATTTTTTTTTGAGGACGTACGTATCTCGATAGGCACAAACACCAAGTCAATGAACAATCCACAAAAAAACTAATGTCGGTTCAATTAAGCAATTAAGCAACACTAGAATTATCATTACACGAAAAGAATGATTCAATTAAGAGAAAGTGTGACTATTTTATGTGAAGTATGGTAGGTAAAAACTAAAATGAATTTTGATGGACTTGGACTGAGGATTGATATAGTTGGGCTAAAGTGTTGGACTTGAGAAAATGGTAAAGTTAAAGACTTAAGTTAATTAAATTTTAACAAAATATGTTTAATTTATTTATGAATAATATATAAATAATTATAAAATTTATATATCTAATTTATCGGTCTGATTTGGTTATTTTTGCGGTTGTTTTTTAGTAAAATCAAAACCAAACCAAATAGTATCGGTTTTCAAAATTTAAAAATCAAACCTAACCAAATATCGATTTTTTAAATCGGTTTGGTTCAAATTGCGGTTCGGTTTGATTTTTTTAACCATAACCATGAACAACCCTAATCATAATTATTTAAAATACCTACACTTTAAAATAATCATTAAAAATGTCAATATGTTAATATTTTAGAAAATAAATTGTATCACAATATAACTAATCTTCTTTCCTTTTATTTTTCAAATCAGGCCCATATTGGACCATTTTTTAAACTTTATTATACAATAATTTTTTTTAAAAAAATACCCCATTACCCACTTACCCCCCCCCCCTTTCCAGGTTTACCCCAAATTACTCCTTTCTCTCTCTTCCCCTTTTCACCATTGTTATCTCCTTTACTTATTCAAGAAAATCAACTCTTGGAATTCTATACTTTTTTTCAAGAAATCTCGCAATTAATTCAACAAATTGTTCACCCATTGATAAAGGTAAATTTGAAGTCAACAAGTATTTTGTGAGATTTCTTGTGATTTTATTTTTATATTCACCAAGTATTTTGTATTTTGGATTTTTCGTCTTTTAAACATATTATTTGATTTTTTATGAGTTTGTTTTCATATTCATCAAGTATTTTGTCAAATTTTTCTGTTTTATGTATTTCGAATTTTTCGTCTTTTAAACACTATTATTCGATTTTTTTTGTGATTTTATTTTCATATTTGAGATTTAGTATATTGTAATAAACTACATTGGCATTCATACATCATATATATTGTTTGATTTTTAATACATTCATATTTAATAATTTTGAGTTTTGCTTAAAGGGTTAGTAATGCACAAGTGAATACAGATTCAGATTTGGGCTTGGTGAACAAAAAAATCGCAAAAAAGGAACATGGAATAAGAAGAAGGAGGAGGAGGAGGAGGAGGAGGAGGAGGAGGAGGAAGAAGAGGAGGAGGAAGAAGAGGAAGAAGAAGAAGAGGAACAGGAAGAGGAGGAAGAAGAGGAAGAAGAAGATGAAAAAGAGGAAGAAGAGGAAGAAGAAGAAGAAGAAGAAGAGGGGGAGGAGGAGGAGGAGGAGGAGAAGGAGGAGGAAGAGGAAGAGGAGGAGGAATAGGAAGAAGAGGAAGAAGAGGAAGAAGAGGAAGAGGAAGAAGAAATAGAGGAACATAAAGAGGAGGAAGAGGGAAGAAGAAGAGGAAGAGGAAGAAGAAGAAGGAGAAGGAGAAGGAGAAAGATGAGAAGAAGAAAGAGAAGAAGAATGAGGAGAAGAAAGAGAAGAAGAAGAAAGAGAGTCAGAGAAGACAATTGCAAAAATTGTATTCATATTTTTATTTTTTTTATTTTTTATTTTAGTAATTTTTGGACCGGTGGTCCATTTTATTATTAAAGGCAAATGGACTCAAAATGAGCCCATTATAAACAAAAACAACAAATAAGATGTCAGTCCAAAACTGACCAAATCTCAGGTGAAAATCAATCTCCTAAAACATAGAGTTTCCTAATCTGATTCCCCGGCTGCCTCTTCCATTCATTTCTTCGCTGCTGAAGATGTTTCTAAGGGTCCCAGTGTTTTTCACCCCATATTTACTTGCGCCATTTTCCTCTTTTAACTTCTATTTTTTTGTAGCATGTACACTGTGAAATCCATGACAATGTGGCTCAATGATTCTCCCTTTTGTTGGTGATATCACTCTTTGTTGGCTGAAATAGTTGTGACTAACTAGATGTTTTTGCTTAGCTATATTGCCCCTATCTTGACCACAACTATTCTGTAAATGTAATAGCTAAGTGATTCTGTTGTCTCTGTGGTCTCTCATCTACATATCATTTCTGCTGCTGATATTGATTTTCCTTGTTCTTATTCTGATAGCTGGTATTTGTTGCTTGTCCATGTTTAAGATCTTTCTTGCTTTGCTTGGTAGATCTTGAAAACTGTGATACTGCTGCATGTCTTCCTGATTGATAGCTATGTTAGTGATGTGATCAGCTAATTGATTAGCTTCTATGAATATATGCACTAACTGTATATTAAGTGTAGACATAATCTCATGTATCTCCTCTATCATTTCTATTAAGCTCCAAGGTACCCTCCATTCTCTTTGAATCATATTTCGAAGACTTTGTGAATCTGTCTCTAATATGACATTTGTGATCCCACCCCTCTTACAGTAGCTCAGTGCTTTCCAGATTGCTGTAATTTCTGCTTCTATGTTTGTTGTGTTGCCTATCTTTTGTGCTTCAATGTATACTAGATCTCTTTGACTCTCTCTTATACAAAATCCATAAGAGCTTTCTCCCGGATTGCCTTCGCTAGCTCCATCTGTATTACACTTTACCCATCCTTCCTTTGGCGTTAACCACTTTACTATGTAATAGTATAGAACTGGTTTATACTACTGGAGTAAATCAAGCATCCCCGACCAATGGTAAGGGATATTTCGTAACCAAGGATATGTAACTCTTATCAATATATGTACTGTCGATTGACATTGAGTGTACATTTGGTCGAAAGAGACTTCCTTGTCATGTCTATTTGCATTCCTCCTCTTTCATAGTTCCCACATAATTATTGTAGGTATTACATTCATTATGTGTTGCACCTTAGGATTTGCATCATATTCCCACCATTGCATAATCACATTATGTAATTGTTCTCCTGCTATGGTAATACCTGCACAATAAGCAAACTGCTTCCATAGCCGTTGGGCTATGGGAGTTGTTAGTAATAAATGTGTCATGGTCTCCATTTCCCCTTTGTCACAACGATAACATTTTGAGACTATGTTCATCCTCATTCTGTTTAGATTATCATCTGTGGCAATTCTTTTCTTCCAAACTATCCACAAAAAGAATGATATCTTAAAAGGTAGTCTCTTGATCCACATGCAACTCCTCCACTCCAATGGTTGTCTTCTCTGCCTCAAAATAACATATGCAGATTTAACAGTAAAAATTCCAGTTGAATTTCCCATCAACCAAGCTTTGTCATTTGTTTCGGAAGTGAGGGGCTTGATGCTCTCTACGATATATTCTACCATCTCCTCTGAAATGAACTCCTTCAACTTTTCTATCCTCCAAGTCCCACTTGTAATGAACTCTCTTACTTCTATTTCCTCCTCCCTGATAGATTTACCTTCTGTATAATACAATGCCCTTTGTTTAGTCTAATTGTCAAGCCAAAACCTGGAATTTCCAGCTTTTACTTGCCACCAAATGTCATGTTCCACTTCCTCTCTTATGGCCACCATTTTCCTCCATACATGTGAAGATCCCGCACTTTTAGCCAACACAAGATGGAGCTTTTTACAATACTTATTCCCCATATACGTGCTCCAGAGAGATGTGGTTGAGACTCTAAAATGCCACCAAAGCTTTGCAAATAGTGCATCATTTACAGTATGGACGGACCTGAACCCCAACCCTCCTTCATCTTTAGGTAGACACATGTCTTCCCATGTTACCCAGTGTTTACCTTTTAGGCTTCTGCTTCCCCAAAAGAATTTTGCAAAACATTGGTGGATTTGGTTATAACGCTTTTATGAGGATGCATGGTAGATAATAGGTACACTGGAAGAGATTGAAGCACATGGCTGATTAAAGTATACTTGCCACTGAATGAGAGGAATTTGTTTTGCCATGACAATACTCTTTTAGCAATCTTTCTTATCAACTCTTCAAAATAAGACTTCCGCTTCCTGCCATAAAAAACTGGACACCCAAGATAGGTAAAAGGGAAGTTTCCTTGTCTGATCCCTGTAATTCTTCTCAACCTAATTGCAACTATCAATGGTGTGTTATCATGAAGATATAAATAGCTTTTAGATTTATTAATCATCTAACCCGAGACATTCTCATACTTCCTTAACATTGTCATCATTTGTATTACCGAGTGTCTATCCCCTGAGCCAAATAGAATGGTATCGTCTGCGTATGAAAGGTGATTAATTTTAGGACTCCACTTGGGCATGTATCCCTTGAAGCTTTTATCTTCATGCAGATTACTCAACCCTCTTACCAGTACTTCGGCTACAATTATGAATAGAGTGGGTGATAGGGGTCTCCCTGCTTTAAGCCCCTAGATGATTGGAAAAAAACCATTTGATTGACCATTAATCAGCACCGAGTACCAGTTATTCGACACCAACC